CGTGGGACCAGGAATTCTCCCGGGACGAGGGAGTCATTTCGACCGGGGGGGTATCCTGGGACCGGGGGGTCTACTCGGACCAGGGGGTCTACTAGGACCAGGGAGTCTACTAGGACCAGGGAGTCTACTCATATAAATATATATAAACTAAACATACATACATATATATACTAAATATATAAACTAAATATATATAAATATATACAAACTAAACATACATATATATACTAAGTATATACATATTAAAAACTATATATATAAATTAAATATATATTAATATATCAAAACTGAATATATATAAATATTTATAAACTAAACATATTTAAGAATATATATGAACTAAATATATATAAATATATATATAAACTAAATATTTATAAATAAATATATAAAAACTAAATATATAGAAACATTTGTAAACTAAACATATATAAGCATATATATAATCTAAATATATATATATATAAACTAAATGTATATAAATATAAATATATAAACTACTCGTACATAAATATGTATAAACTATATATAAATATATAATTATATATATAAATCTACTCAGGGGTCGACTCAGACCAGGTGTCGCTCTTCTAGTGGGAAAAAAAAAAAATCAACAAATCACAACACACAGAGACATGAATACAGCCCCGGATGTGACCGGAGCTGGTCTGTCACTGGTTTTTTTTTCTCCCCTCCTGGACTTTTTTTTTTTTTTTTTTACGGTGGTGTCGTCCACTTCCTGGTCCGACCGCGCAGCCACTGAGACACATGGTGTCCACGTCATGTACTATGTGTTACTATGTGACGAGTGGAGGTGACGATCAGGAGGAACAGAGGACGTCAGTGTTGTTGTTGTTGTTGTCGTTGTTGTCGTCGTCGTCGTTGTTGTTGTTGTCGTCGTAGGTCATGAATCCCTGATTGTTTTTCAACGTTCGTTCAGTTCAGTTCTTGTTCTTTCCTCCCTCTCAGTAAAAACAGTGGAACAGACTCCTTGGTTTGGGGGGGGAGAGAGGGGGGGCGGGGTTAGAGGGAGGTCTCTGATTGGACAATGACGAGGTTTTATTTTAAGGCTGACTTCAAATTATCTGTAAAATTTTTTTTTTTGTTTTGTTTCCAGGGTTGTTTTAAGTGGTATCGAATATATATTTACTCATACATATGTAAACTACATATATATAAATATATATTTATATATGCTAAACATATAAATATATATAAACTACATATTTAGTTACTCATACATACATAAACTAAATATATATAAATATATGCATAAACTAAATTTATATATTTACTCATACATATATAAACTAATTATATATAAATATATTTAAACTAAATATACTTAAATATATATATATACTAAATATATATATTTAGTCATACTTGCATAACCTAAATATATAAAAATATATATACAAACTAAATATAAATACATATATAAACTATATATATATTTATTCATACATATATAAACTAAATATATATAAATATATAAACTTAATATATATAAATATTTATAGACTAAATATATATATTTTTGCATGTACATATATAAAAATATTTAAACTAAAAACATATAAATATAAATAAACTTAGTTTATATAAACTAATATAAATATATATATACAGATATACATACATAACCTAAATATATAAAAATATACAAACTAAATATAAACACATATAAACTAAATATATTTTAATATATATAAACTAAATATATATATTTACTCATACATATATATACTAAATATATATAACTATATAAACTAAATATATGTATATATTTATAGACTAAATATATATAAACTAAATATATATATCTAACGTTGTCATCTGGTGCCGTACCAGGTGAGGTTTTAACTCCGACACCGTGGGTCGTCACCCCCTGTTACCATAGTAACTATAGAGTAGATTCTGGTACCAACGCTGAACGTTGGAACCATGGGTTGGGTCCCAAACCAAGGGTCTCGTGCTCACACTGACCACCCCATGGTACCATGAAACCCTTCACCAACACCAGCAACACAAGTCGGCTGCACTTGTGTGACGAGGCCGAGCAGAAAAAAAAAAAAAAAGACA